GCCTTCAGGGCTGACAGGAATGACAGCCTGGCTTCCCAGTGGCCCAGCACCTCTTCCCTTGACTGGGTCTGAACAAGTTGCTCACCTTAGGGTAGTTTTTAAACAAATGTTTAGCTTTCCTGGTCCATACTCCCTCAACACAGAAACAGCTACCCATGGAGACACAAAAGTAGCCGCATTCCTGAGGCGCCTTGACATATGGCGTCCCTCTGGCTCCCAAAGGCAAGCCTGGTTTCCCTCTCGGTGGTGACTCTGCCATGCGCTTCTGAGTCCCAGGCACGGCACCTGTTTTCCCACTTCATCCCCGTTGGACAGCAGCAGCTGCCTTGAGAGCTAAAATTATAGAAGGCTGACGTCCTGCAGGGTGTGAGGAGAGATCCCAGGCTGTTTGGCAGAAAGGACACTTGGGTCATGCTGTCCCAGCTAAGAGAGGCACTCGGGAGAGATCGTTTGGTCTCCTGTTTAGAATAAGGGATAAAGAGCAAAGAGAGGCAGAGACAGAACGGAAGGGGTTGCTGGGGGCCTCGGGAGTCCAAGAGGAGAATGAGAAATTGGATCTCCACAGCAGCTGGGCCCCTGGTGTCCCTGGTCCCTGGAGGGCCAGGCTGGTGAGGAGAGGGCAGAGAGGAGGATGTGGACCTTCATCACCCAGCTCCTGGTCACTCTGGTGTTGCTGGGCTTCTTCCTAGTCAGCTGCCAGAATGTGATGCACATTGTCAAAGGCTCCCTGTGCTTTGTGCTGAAGCACATTCACCAGGAGCTGGACAAGGAGCTGGGGGAGAGCGAGGGCCTGAGCGACGACGAGGAGACCATCTCCACCAGAGTGGTCCGCCGACGGGTCTTCCTGAAGGTAACACCAGGCGAGCGGCAGGACAGGGGGCTGGACCTAGGGTGCGGCAGGACAGTCGGCGGGGACTCTATAATGTGTGCACAGGGTGAGGCTGAGAGAATGCCGACTCACACCAGGAGATATGACAGGCAGGTGAGACCAGGAAGACCTCTTTGTGTTCTGGGAACCACAGATGCTTAGGCGCCCGCTCAGAACCACCCTAGTGCCCAGCATTAAGTAGTAGAGAGAATCCGCTCTGGGGCTTAGGACTTCTGCTCTTATTGCGTTTCTGTTGCCAACTTTGGCGTTCAAGTCACCTCCACGGCAGGGATGTCCGGGGCATTCTCTCCCACACTTCTCTTGGGGGGCCTTCAGGAACTTTCATAATCACCCTGTATTGCTACCATGGCAATATCAAGACTGGCCCCAGCCTGTCTCAGGGCTCATGGCCCCACAGGGTGCTACAACTCCGTGGGAGCCCTAGTTTGTCTGGGGCTACTTGCTGAGCTCCGGGCTTTACTGGACACGGCTGTTGCTGCCGCGGCTTTTCCAGTTCCTCATCTCCTGCTCTTCTTCAAAAAAAAATCCCACTTACCAATCTGGGTCTTTCCCTTCTTCTGACTCCAGGGGGATGAGCTCCAGAATATTCCAGGAGAGCAGGTGACAGAGGAACAATTCACAGACGAACAGGGCAACATTGTCACCAAGAAGGTGAGTGTAGAGCCTCTAAGTTGGGGAGAAACTGGTGGGACTGGAAGCTGAAGGGGTGGGACTCAGTGTACACCCGCTTCTTACTGCTGCCCTGATGGGGTAGGCAGGCTGTGGCCCGACACCTCGGTGATTCGGGGTAACTCAGGAGAGCTGAGACCTTCAGGTCCCCTGCAGTCGGAACATCTGGGGACCTGTAACCTCAAGGCTTAACTCAGCGTGAATAGTTCCAGCTTCCCTATTCCAGAAGGATCAGCTCCCGAGAAACATACAGCCCGAGGCCTGTGAGGCCAACCCTGAGATGAGCTGTTCGAGAACAATGAGCTGTTCCCAAGGCCTCCCTTAGCAGCAAAGCTGTAGAAACTTAATGGGCTGATGGCATGCATCAGTCAGCACGATAGGTTCGCATTGCCCGGCAAGGAAGAAAGCAGGAGAGGGTGCATTATGTTTCACCAGGGCTGCCGCTCACATAGGGGACCACAGCCCCATCTGTCCTGGCCCCTTCCTAAGGGCCTGAGCCATGTTTTATGTTCATCTCCCATTCTGGATACATGAGTATGAAGCAGGTGAGTGGGACAGCCACACAGAGAAGAAAAGGGACTGCCTGTGCCCTTAGGCACTGGAGAGATAGGATGGGCCAGCACCAGCTTCTATCCTAAGAAACAGAGTGGAATGCGGGAGGCTAAGGAGGCATTGCCCGTGGCCGAGCCAGCGGTCGAGGAAACATGCCCACAGTGCTCACTCCCCACATTCAAGCTCCCCTAACGGTCCCCTTAAATGACAGTAGAGAAAAGTTTCTTCTTGGACCCCGATGGACAAGGGACAAGAGGCCATTGCTTCTCCTCCTGATGTCACCGCCGGGGCCTCGTCTGCCTCACACTGTCTCCTGGTGGTTTGACCAGCCCTCCTTCTCTCCCCCTCTCTTTCAGATCATTCGCAAAGTCGTTCGGCAGGTAGACTCCTCCGGTGCCATTGACACCCAGCAGCACGAGGAGGTGATTGTTGAGGGGCCCCTAGTGGACCCTGGGGATCTGGAAGCTGATATTGAATCCTTTAGGAAACTTACTAAGGTACTGAGAAGCTGCAGGCCCCCTGGCGGCCGCAGCAAGCTCACCTCTACCGCACCTCTACTTTGTTCCGGTCTGCACGCGCTGCCCTTTGGCTACCTTTCCGGTGGACAGTGTCCCCACCTCCTCCTCCCTGTCCCTTTCCATCATCTGCCTGTTTTCCCTCGTCTGCCTGTGTGATTCCTTCTTTCTTCTGTCTCTGATGCTGTCTCCAGGTGGAGCTAAGAGGGAGTGGACTACAGCCGGACCTGCTAGAAGGCAGGAAGGGGGCTCAGATAGTCAAGCGGGCCAGCCTGAAAAGGGGCAAACAGTGATCTCTCCTCGAGTAGCCCCTTGGGAGGTAACAGCGACTTTCTTGTCGTTCCCTGGCATGGTCCTTGATGAAGTAACTGCTTCCTCCCCCCCCCCCCAGCCCATTCCTTGCATTAGCGCAATTGAGCGTCACAACCCGACTCTCAGATTCCCACACCCCAAACTAGTCTCTGCCCCCCACCCCAAATTCCTCCTCAAGCATCTCATTTGGCACAGGTCTGCAGGAGAGTACATACATTCAGGGGCTTGGTTTGATTTTGCTTGTTTGTATTTTCCTTTGTCTTCTTTTGGCTGTGTTAGGGATGGAGCCCAGAGTCTCATGGATTCTAGGTATGGATTCTGCCTCTGAACCACACCTTCAACCCCTATCCAATTTATTTTTAAATAGGGCCTCTCTAGAGAGCCCTGGGACTTGCCACTGCGTCGACCAGGCTGGCCTCTAACCCACAGAGCTCCAGTTACCTCTGTGCTGGAATTAAAGGCGCGTGCCACCACTCCTGAATAATTTTTAAATAGCGCTTTGAAGTGTGAACAACCTTGGTATTCCTCTTAGAAACCAAGCAGCGGGCTCTAGAGTTGGTGACCAGGACACTGCAGAGCACAAGGTACACTGTCAAGCCTGAGGTGTGCCTCACTCTGTGTGGCCAGAAAATACACCAGGTCAAAATTAAGCCCCGCCGGCGTCCTAGCCTGCCGTAGCTTCAATTCTCTTCTGCGCTGTGAACAAGGCCGCTCCCTTGATGTCTAAGAAAGAGCTAACAGGTCCAGGGTGTGGGTGGGATTTTCTGAAAGTCAGGAGGGTCTTCGTGGCTAGGGGCTGCACTACTGTGTGACGGGCATGCGCCATGGCAGTGGGCCAGGGTATGAAACGAAGCTCTCCAGCATGCGGCAGAACTGAGAGCTTTGGCAGCCAGCTCTGACGTTACCCTCCCTGAGGGGTCCTGTACTGAGCTGCCCCGAGGCCCTTCATTGTGCTCAGCTCGGTGCAGCTCAGTACAAGACGCATCGGGGTGGGAGACAGCGGGGAGCAAGGAAGCATCACAGCCCCTCCCCCTACGCACAGCACCAGCTGGGGTGTTGCCCCCAGAGCTCTCAGGGTCCAACTCCAGAGCCAAGCAGCAAGCTGTCGCTGGTTTTTTTTTTTTTTTTTTTTTTTTTTTTTTTTTTTTTTTTTGCATTCTGCATAAAGCAGGGCCCGTGCTGCCTCCGGGGCCAGCAGAAGTGCTGACTGGGTGCTTCCCAACATATCTCAGCACTTGGGCAAAAACGGGGATTGGCAGAGCTGATAGGAGAGTAAAATTAGCCCTGACTCCTCAGCAGCTTTAAAGGAGGTCACAGCGTTAACCCTGGCACTGCCAGGAGGGTCCTGCCCAGCTGTTGACTCAGAGGCCAGGATTAGCTCTGCTTTGTGCTTCTCTCTGACTCAGATTTTACCAGTGCCCTGAACGAGGAGGCAGGTAGCATGAAGGTGGGCCCAAGGGCAGAGAGGATGTTTTCGTTAATTTGTTATAGCTGATCTACAACGGTGTCAATACTACACACACACACACACACACACACACACACACAGAGAGAGAGAGAGAGAGAGAGAGAGAGAGAGAGAGAGAGAAGGTTACCCACCAGACCTCATGAGCTTAGGGGTCAGGAATTCTAAGCAGCCTGATTCTGAGACAGTGCTGAACCTTCTGCCATCAAACGGCAAAGGGAGGGCCGTGATCAGGATAGTAAGGCTTGCAGAAGCCAGTGAGGTGGCTCCTGCCCATGTCCGCCCCGGGGCTGGAAAGCAGCAGCTAGTGAAGGGGCTTCAGGCTCTGTTCCTATCACGTACTGCCTGCACCCCATGAACAGTCCAGCCAGTCCTCGTTATCCCTCTCCTGCTTCGCCCACTCACTGAAAGTCACTCGAGATCCGAAGCCAGCCCTGGGTGCTTCTGGGATCAGTTATTCGCAGACACACAGACAAGGGTGACCACAGAGTGACTGGCATGCGCACTTCCCAGCTCCACCTTGCTGGAGTTTTTGTACGGCCCTTCATTGTCCATCTGTCTAGTGCCACGGCGCGTTGTCAATCTCTCTGCTGGTTACCTCGCTCTTTCTGTTGAAGTTCCGTCTGTCCAGGGAAGTGGAGTTTTAAAGCTTCCCGATGGCTCTGGTGTTAGGGGAGATGAGGACAGCGTGAGTGACTGAGCCAGGCACATGCAGTCTCGCAGCCTCCCACAGAAATATACATACGACCGTCAATTTGGGGTTAGAGTCATTGGTTGAGGAAAATGTAACCAGAGACTGCCAAGAAACTCACCTTGTGTTTCCCTGAGAGCATTACTCGGTAGTCACTTTCATCCTTCATATGTTCATGCGGTCCATCCCATGTTTATGCCTTATCAACCATGAACCAGGACTACTGGGAACAGCGGGAAGCATCTAATTTGTTTCTAAGCGTGAAAGCTAGCCTTGGAATCTAGATTCAAGGCCTGGCTCCCCCTGTTCCCACACTGTATGAGCTTAAGACGCTCATATCCCCAACCTCAAACTCCTCAAGGAGAGATGAAAATAATCTCTTCTGAATATGTGTTATATATCAATAAAAAGTAAGTATGGAAATGGGTGTGGCTCCATGATAGAGCGCATGCTCATGCCAGAGACCCCAGGTCCCAGCCACAGCATGGGTGTGGCAAGGGTACAAATAATTAACCACGAGAGGTGTTGTGTCCCGAGAAGTCAACAAAGGCGAATGTACTCTGGCGTTCAATTAGTGGCAGATTGTATTTGCAGTGTGACTCAGGGCAAGCCAACTGACCTCTCTCGGCCTCAACATTTCTGCCCACACGTAGCAATAATGCCAGTTATTTCCTTGTAGAACTGCTGTGTGGCAAGGAATGTGCTTAGTTTTGTGAAGGGACTTCACAAAGTGTGAGGCTCAACAGTACCCTTTCGCAGAGTGTGGTCCACACCCCCTCCTAAGGCCACCTGGGGTCTTAAGATGCAGACTCCTGGGCTGGGGCGCAGCTCAGGAGCAGACGCTAGCTAGCCAGGCGAGACCAGGCTTCTACTCTCCGCTGTAGTGTGATTATCGTGCGTACTGAAGGTTGAGTTCTGATCACTGATTTTGATCCTTCTCCTTAAACTTCCCTCGAGTCCAATAGCATGGCTCTAAGTATCAGATCTAAAAAGTGGCTGAAATAGAGGACAGTCAACTGTTTAGAGAGGTCAAACACTCACTGGGAGGACTCTGCACCCTGGTAAGCAATGTGTGGCTGAGCCTTGTTCTGACCCTACCTTTCGCCCCCTGCATTGGAAAGGCCTCCGGATCTGAGGTCTAGAGAGTGGAGAAGCAGGCAGAAGAAGCCAGCGAGTTGTTGTTAGTCAAGGCTCAGGGCACAGAGCAAGCAGCACGTGGCAGGGTTTGAACCGTGCTTAAGTGTTAAGGTGCCAGGACCATTGGGAAGACTGGCACACAGGCAGTGATGGAGCTGGAGGGGGGTCCCACAAGCTTTGGAAGGGCCCTGGTTCTTGATACCCTTTGCAGGTGCATGGCTGCGCCCTGCAGGTGCCCAGGGAGGAGAAAGCAGATGCCTCTGTTTTCCTTTTATGGAACACTTTCCATGCAAACATAGTTCCAGGATTTAAACTAGCTCTGACAATAGAATATTTTAATAAATTTAAAGTTAATCTGTTTTAGTGAGAGGAAGTGGGGAGGCATGCTTTCTTTTGCTTTATTTCAAGCTAGAATCTGTTCTCCTATCCAGCCGCTTCAAGGACTCCTGAGTGAGAGGTAAAAGGAGATGGTAGGAGTCACAACATAGGTGAGGGGCAGGTACCAGGGCAGGGAGAAAGAGCCTGGCTGTAGGGCCACCCAGAGCGCACCGGAGGGCAGTTTCCTATGCTTTGGGAGGATCAGCCTTTTCCAGAGAGTAGCCTGGGGAAGAGGTGTGGTGTCAGAAATCCTGGCTACAGTCAGAAGGCTCATGTTACCACCCTCTGCTCTGCCAGCTGCTCCAGCTCTCTCTTTCTCCTGAGTCTTAGTTTACCCAAAAATAAATTGGGTGCCTGCTCCAAAATGATCTCTAAGGTTGAGCCTTCTCCTCTGCGTAGTAAAGTAGGTGGGAAATCAGAGTCTGTGTTCGTCTGGAACCTCAGGACTCACGTTGTCTCTCATTTGAGGAATGATAAGCTCCAGGGTAGGCATTGCAGGGGCCAAGAAGGGGCTCCCACCCACGTGCTCATTAACCAGCCAGAGCAGTCACACAGCTGGTAAGGAGAAAACACCACTTAGGCAGCTGCACTTTCTACAAGCCCAGAGTGCTCCTTGCCCAGAGTGCTCCTTTTCCCAGAATGCTCCCTTCCCAGAGGGCTCCCTTCCCAGAGGGCTCCCTGCCCAGAGTGCTCTCTTCCCAGAGGGCTCCCTGCCCAGCAAAAGTGCATGGCTTTTAGTCCTTACAGCTTTAGGTGAGGCATTTGGCACTCCCTTCCCCTCCTGGGGAAGCATCCAGAGATGAGTCATATTGGTCATGCCCATTATTCCTCCCCAGCTCTGCTACCTGCAGAGCCCAGGACAGTTCTGCTTCAGGATGATTTCCAGTCTTTGGGCCACTTCCCACAATACCACTGGCTCTCTTAAGGGCCTAGTGGACCACGCCCGCCACCCCCACACTCAGGATGCTGAGGCTGGACAGTTACCATGAAGTCAAGGCCAATCTTGATAAATAATGAGTTCAGGGACAGCCTGTTCTAAAGAACGAGTCCCTGTCTCAAACACACACACACACACACACACACACACACACACACACACACAAATACAAAAGCACCCTTCTCTTCTTCGCCAGCTCCTGGGCCCCTGTAGACAGAACCTTTAGTTTCTCCTGGAAGACATGATGTTACCTGGGCTCAACAGCACCTGCCTGAAATCCCAGCACCTGGGATGCAGAGAGAGGCAGCAGGTGGGAAGTTTCAGGCTTGAGCTGTGTAACAAGACTCTGTCTCAGAAAAAAAAATAAAATAAACAAGGAAAGAGGAAGGAGGGCAAGAAGGAGGCCAGACTCTCAGGAGGCTGGGGGGGGATAAGGCCCTGGGAGGCAGGAATGGCATCAAGCTATGAATCTCAGGCTGGCAGGTTTGAACGTCACGTGCAAGGCTGTTGCTTTCCAGCTTGAGATGTAATATTCTAGAGACAATGTACCTGCCTGAAAGATCTCCTTACCACAGAGTCGGCCACCACTAGGCACAGGAACAGGAGCTGGGGTACCTGACAGTGAGAGTCCGTGAACAAGAGCCAAGAGGAGCTTCAAGGTCATGAGTTCCCAAGACCAGGGCTTCAAGGTCATGAGTTCCCAAGTACACAGAGCTTCAAGGTCATGAGTTCCCAAGACCAAAGCTTCAAGGTCATGAGTTCCCAAGTACACAGAGCTTCAAGGTCGTAAGTTCCCAAGACCAGAGATTCAAGGTCATGAATTCCCAGGACCAGAGCTTCAAGGTCATGAGTTCCTGAAACCAGTGATCTTGTCCAGGGCAGACACAGAGCTGATACAGTGTTGCAGGCCCACCTGAACTGAGAGTGTAGCACTACTGCCTAGCCTAGTGTTTTTCTTGGTAGAAGACCCATCTCAGAAAAATGGCCACTTTCTATGCAAAAAAAAAAAAAAAATCTACTCTGAAGGTTTTTTTCCTACCCTCCTTGGCAGGACACCACCTTCTCTGCCCACCGGAGGCTGGCTAGGGAGCTGAGACATCTGGGTAGAGAGAGGGAGGATGGGTGGTATTTTGGGGCCAAGCCTCTGCTACGACACTGCCATCTCACTGCTTTGCTTGGGGACACTGCTTCTCCTGGTCGGCCCTGCCCCAGAAGGAAAGCACAGGACCCTTGAGTGACTCCTCTTTCTGTGTCCTGCAGGATCACACCTCAACACCCAAACCCTGAACTCCACATACTCTGTCAGGCACACAGAAGGAGACCCGGACCAGAGGGCTACTGGAAGGTCGCACGTGTCCTAAGATCCCGGCATGACCTCTGTGAGGGGCTTCCTTTAGTCTCACATTCGCATGAACGACTGCTATAGACGCATGACCTACAGACTTCAGTCCTGCCTCTAGCGACTATGGATCTCTGTGGGAATCAGGACAAAGGCCGCAAGAAGAAGGGAGAGAGGAGTGAGGGAGAGCGAGCAAGCCCCCAAAGAGCACATGGGTGCAGACACGAATAAGGGCTCTACTGTGGCTGGGATGGTTGGTTAAAGTTTGTTTGCTTTTTCTGTTGTTCTGTTTTGATTTTGACTTCGCCCTCATTTGTAAGAAGCTCACAAGATCATTCTGGAAGGGGGAAACTGGAAACTGGGTGTGGAATCAGTTTAGCATCATTGCCCCACATTCCCGTGTGCCAGCCTTCCACACCCGCACACCCCACATGCGGGTAACAACACTCCCACACACACACACACACCACACTTCCCGCTGAAGGGACTGCTCTTCCCAGAATGACACGGCACAGGTGCACATGTGCAGGCCTCCCCCTCACTCATCCACACTGGTTTTACTGTGTCCTCTGAAGCTGTATGGATAAACTGGATATATATTTTTTTTATGTTGTCTCTCAGTTTCAGTATTAATCATCTTCCAGTGGAAATCATTACCCTGAGAGTGCACTCGGGGTTCCTTGTGTTTAGAAATTTGGGAACTGAGGCAAGGAGCCCTCAGGATTTGCTGTAGGGCTCAAAGGGAGCCAGGGCCCCATCTCAAAGTTCTCTCTGGGGAAGGGCCTGTGGCTGTCCGAGGATTGCACCAGCATGTTCGATAGACGGGAGGTTTTCGAAATCGTCAAGCATTTCAATAATAGTCTGTGTTAAAAGTGTAAACTGTACAGTAATCAGCCTTGTGTATATCAATACAATAAATACTATGCAAACCAATAGAAACACGTTAGCAGTATGTACAAAGCCCGAAACAGCTCAGCTCCCGAGGACTTCTCCAGGCTGTGGGAGGAGCTAAAGGCTGTCTTTCACTGAAAGAGAAAGGGAGTAGGGCTGTGAATGTACCTGCCAGTTCCTAGGTCACACCACCACCCTGAGGTCTCCCAGAGCCAACTTGGTGCTTGAAGTGCAGGTGGCCGCAGGCTGGAGGTCCTGGCACAGACCCTGGACTCAAGCTCCGACCACCAGCCCAGCGCAAGGAGAGCCCGGAGCAGGAGAGAGCTGCTGACCAGGTGGCTGAGGAGAGACCCTCTTCTATCTAGACTCAGGGCCAGGCCAGGAAGGGACCCCACAACTGGCTGGTCTTGCCTTGGAGCCCTCAGGGAAGAGCCTTAACGTCACACTAGAGTCTCCTGCAGAGGGAGGCCCGAATCAGCACAATCCGGCTCCGCCTCGCCCGGGCGGCGCCCCCTACGGCCAGGAAAGAGACTGGCAGGCTCTTCTCGCTCTCCAGGAGCCACTGGTGGACGGCGGTCACC